GACGGGGGCCGGGCTCCGGGCGGGCGGCCGTGGCCGCTGCCGGAGGGCGGCTGCTCGCCGGGCGGCGGCGGCGGCGGCGGCGGCGGGCGCCGCGGTGGACTGGGCGCGGCCGTGGTGAGGTCGGTGCGGTTGTAGTCCATGCACAGCGTGTCAGGGTTGCCCTGCTCGGGCAGCCTGTCGCAGCGCATGCGGTCGGGCCAGGCGAAGCCGTACTGGCGCATGAGGGGCGCGCAGCCGGCCTTGGCGCGCTCGCATACCGAGCGGCAGGGAGGCAGGGGCTTCTTGTAGTCCTCCAGGCAGATGGGCGTGTACATGCTGCACAGGAAGAACTTGAGGTCGGGCGAGCACTGGATCTCCACCAGCGGCCAAAATTGGTGCACCTCCAGGCCCGCCTCGTCCTGCGTGTCGTGGTTGAACTGGTTGGGCATATAGGTGTAGTTGTAGCCGATGCCCTTGCATAGCGGCACGGTGATCTCCTGGCACGCCAGCTCCTTGGCCGAGGCGGCCGCAGCGCCGCTGGAGCGCTGCAGTAGCGCCAGGGCTGCCAGCAACGAGGTCACTTCCAACAGGTAACCCCACTCCATGCTGCGCGCCTCGGCCACGCGCCTTCGCCCTCCGGGCGGCGCGCGGAGGGGCGCTGGGAGATCCTGCAAGAGCGCCGGAGGAGGGGAGAGAGGGCGCCCTGCCGGGCTCTCTCCCGCCTCTCCCGGGAGCGGGGGGGGGGAGGGTCTGCCGATAGCCTGGTCCCTTCGCGGGACGCGTCCTCACGGCGCCGCGGGAGACGAAGGTGGCTGCCGGAGGGCACCCCAGTCCCCGGGTCTGCCCCGCTCACTCCGGCCGGGCTCAGCCCTCGCAGGGCAGAGTGGCCGGCCCCCGGCTCATCGTCCCTCTCTCGCTCGCTTTCTCCGCGCGCGCCGGTGACTTTGCCGGGCACCTAGGGCGGCGGCGCAGCAAGTTTCCTCTCGGGCGGGCCGCTGTACGCAGTCAAGATGGCTGGGCCAGGCCTCTCCGCGCCCGGTTCAGCCCCTGCGGCCCCCTTTCGGCGTCCCGGGGCTCATGCTCGCCCCTAAGGCCGCGCGTCTGCCGCCGGGGTTCGGGGCCCGCCTCCGCCGAGGCCACCGCCCTCTGTCCCCGGCGTCGGTCCGTCGGTCCGCCGCCGGGATGACGGGCCCCGCCTCCGGTGGAAGTACGCGTCGCGCTCCGGCCGGCAGTAGGGCGAGGTGTCGGCGGTCCCCTTCTCGCTGGACTCACGGAGCTAAATTCAGGCCGGAAGGCGGAGCGGACACCTGAGCGGCACGCCAGCGCCCCGCCGCCGCCTCCTCCTCGGCGGGAGCAGCGGCCTTCGCCAACTTCCCGCTCCGGCCCTGCTGCGCCCCGGCCGGCTCATGAATATTTATACGGCGCGGACTCGGTCTCCGCCCGCGGCCGGCGCGCCAATCCCGGGCGGGGGGCGGAGTCTGCGCGCTCCCCAGGCCCAGCCTTCCTGGGGCGGGCCCGGCTGTCCGCGCGGCCGTGAGCGCTGTCTGCGGCCGGAGTTTGGATAACCTTGGGATTGACCGCAGAGACAGAGGCTCTGCCACGACCGTCCCCACGGCGCTCAGTGGGGCTGAGGTCGGGGTTCCATTTCCCCGAGCCTGCGCTTGGGGACCGGGGACAAGGTTTTATGCAGTGCGCGCTTTCGGAGGCCCGTTTCGAACTAGTCAAGCCCCTGTTTCCTACGCTCCCAGACGTCGGCGACCTGCTGGCGAGGGGACCGCCCGCCGCTCCGCGAGCCGGCGAGGGCGCGGGGACGTTGCGGGGACCCGGGAAGGTGTTCCCTTCTTGGGGTTCTCAGAACGATGGTCTTGGAGGCTTGGCAATGCCGGAGGAGTGGAACGACTGCAGTTCATTCTGCCTGTTGGGGCTGGACCGGGGGCAGCCCTGGAGGAGGTGCCCGGGAGCCCAGCCGCGGGATCGCGAGGGGCGCGGGCCCGGGGGCGGGTCCGGGGTGGGGGTCTCCTCCCGCCTCCGCTGAGGGACGTGGGGGAGCCTCAGTTTCCTTACCTGGAGAATGGGGTCACAGTACAGACCTCAAAGGGGGTTCTGCTAATTAGGTGAGGTAAAATATCTATAAAGCATCCGGACACAGTGAAGAAGAAGAAGAAAGAAAGAGAAAGGGAGAAAGAAAAACTTGTGAATAGGACAGCCTGGAAACCCTGCGGCTGGATTCTCCCTCTTCATCTCGTGCTTTTGGAACATATGTACATCTCTCCAAAGTTGACATGTTTTTGCCCGAGCCTCCTCCTCCGCCGTGGGAGGCGGCGCCGGGACCTGGCGCGGACGCGCGGACACGTCTCCGCGGTGCGCCCGGGGCCGAGCGTCTGGGTACGCGGCCAGCGAGCGCGGCCCCCGCCAGCTCGCAGCCACCTTAGACGGGGAGGGGCCCGAGGGGCGGGCGGCCTGGCAGGTTCATTTACGCTTGTTAGGACGTCCCAGGGGGTTGTCTTTCTCCTAGAATGGAGTGTTTATTTTTTAATTGATGTGCTGTTTCATTTAGCGCTTGTATGGAACTCACGCTGGGGCTGTAATTACTGTAATCTCGGGAACAAGCATTTCAGTTAGCCAGGAGGGTGGCAACAGACGTCTCTCTCTCTCTCTTTCTTTTCCTCTTCCCCCCCCTTCTCCCTCTCGCTCCTACCTCTCCTTAGTTTTTCCTCCTCTTTCTCTTTCTGTTTCCAGATTTTTGCTATTTGTCAGGTTTCATAGCAGGAACGAGTACAGCTAGAAAACTAAAGTTATTGAGGATGTGGGGACGAAGGAGAAGCAGAACTAAAGGCACGTTTGAGGCCTGGTCATATTTTTGGGGATGTGCGGGACGGTGGTGGTGGTAGTTGGTGGTTATCTGTTTACAAACAACTCGTCATGAAACAAAAATAACTAGCAGCATTTGTTTAGTATAGTCGCTGCTCTGCAGATACAGCGTGGCAGAAACCTGTGTCTTCCTCCTACTGTGTTCTCTCTGGCTTAGTTTAGCAACTGTATCCCAAATAGAAAGGCAGACTCTTCCCCCCCACCCCTGATTTTTGGCAAGTTCTGTATTTTCACCAAGAATTCTAGGCATATCCACCAGGCGGTGGTTATACCCCACTCACTGTCTTTCTCTTTTTTCTTTTAAATTGAAGTCTAGTTAGAACCTCTTTATACTAAAACAAAACAAAACACTTCGCATTTTTGTTTTAGAAAAACTAAACTCCGTAGGAATCAGAAATTCTAAGCCTTCAGAAATATTAGCTGATTCAGTGATTCAGCAGAAAATGATCTCGAGTTTTCAAAAATGCAAAGACTCAACTGTGAGTTGGTCTCTTTATGGATTTCTTTCCCTTCTCCTAATCAGAATTCCCTTTATGGTTTGTTGAATGTAGAAAGTCACCTCTCTCCTGTTGGTACCCTGTTCATAGCTGGCCATCCTCCAGAACATTCAACTGCAGAGAAACAGCAGGTCATACCTGGAGATAGGATGCTAAGCACAGTAGTGAAGGCAAATCCCCCCATATTAAGGACCAGCCTGGGCTCTGCCTCACGGTGACCACAGATAGGAGGGGCTTAGTTCCAAAAGCAACATAGAGGGTGAAAAGTTTCTTTTGATTTTCTTCAGCAGGAAGTGTCAAACAGTGGAGTTTAGAATTACACTATATAAATTAACTAGAACTGGGTAAAAACCAACTGACATTTGAAAATTGAGGCTGAAAATAGTTGATTTTGGCTTTTAATTGGCATTTAAATTTTTTTTCTTTATTCTTTTGAGACAAGATGAAAGCTTTGATGATGTGGAATGTGGAAATTTGGGGGAAATATATTAAGCTTGCAGGAGAAAAGCAGACAAAAAGTTCAGAGCTTTCAAAAATCATGTTATAAGCTATTGGGGGTGAGATTAAAACCATTTACATAAAATCATTAAACATTTACTTTTAATTGAGAGAATAGAAGAATAGCATTTAAATTTTACTATTAAATTAAATGGCTACTTGGCCATCTTTGAGAGCAGAAGAGGCTTAGGAAGCCAATTAGTATATAAAAGGCAATGATGGGTCAGCGAAAAGAAACTAGAATCATTTATCAACATTCTGGCTAAATAATGATTTTTCTTTTGTATATAAAGCAGCTGTTTTTTAAGGGAGGGGAAATAGCTTTATCAGTGAGATAAATAATGTAGGAAACTTTCTAGAGGGATTTCTGAACAGATGTCTGGTTACTGAATAGCCCAAACAAGTTGAAGGCATGAATCTAGCTCAGAGGAGGGGATTTTACAAAACGTCAGCTACCTGGTGAGATAGGAGACGGTCAATATATTGTAAGTTGTGAATTTTAGAAACTTTGATAAAATTATGTTTCAGTGGATTTTAATTTAAAAGTCCAAAAGCTAAAACTCTTGATCCAAGAGTGAGCCTAACATATACCAAAAAAATGATACCTTCCAGAGGCTAAACAGAGAACTCTTTAGTAACTAATAAAATGTCTCAGGCATTATATAAAAGCGTCTTTCAGGGAAACGATCCAAGTCTATATTAGTAGAGAATATTAAACTCTATCTAGTAATATTGGAGTTTTCTTGCTATTTTAGAATCTGTCTTTCAAAGGATTATGTCTTGAGTCTCCCAACCATAGATGGATGGAAAGGTAGAGGTTAACCGGTCTTGCTTCAATCTCTGTTAGAATTAAAATGGGTGAGATTACTTTTATATCCTTCCATAATAACAATAAACTCCATTAAAGAGCTTCCATTGTCTCCACCAGCAGGAAAAGGACTTTGTCAGGAGGAAGTACTCCTTGCTGTGTCTGCTGTAACGAGGCGAAGTTGTAAATGGATGGAGGTGACTGAGGCAAACAGGTGCCACTAGCCAGGAATCAGATTCCCACTTGACATGCAGCTGCCATTTTGGAAAATGGCAGCTGCACTGTCATTGAATTTGATAATTATTGTAAAATATGTTTTAAAAATCAATCACTGATTTTTTTTTTTTTTTCCTCATTCACACTGAAATATTGGCCAGATGCTGAAACTCTTATGAGCTAGGATGCATTGTGCATGAGTTTGGGAACTTTCAGGTGAATAAAGACTGCCTAAGTAAAACTGGCAGAACCAAGGAGGACACAGCTAATCTCACATATCAATACATCTAGAAGCAGGGAGTTCCATCATTGGTTCACACTGGGACAGTGGTGTTAGGCCTGCAGGTCTGCTCTGGTCTCTTGGCTTCCCCTTGGGTGGCGTGGGGCCTGCCACTGCTGAATCATCATCTTTCACAGGACAGCAGCCAAGGCAGGAAGAGTGGCAGGACCTCCCACTTTTAGAGAAGAAAATCCTTCCCCTTAGGTCACACTGGTCTGAACCTGTCACACCGCTCTCGTAGCTGCAAGGAAGGCTCTGCAGGGGAGGGTCTGGTGGGCAGCCCATGGTGGACAGGCTCTCGTGGCACAAAAGCCACAGAGGGGAGAAGGGCCATTGAGCAGACACCGCAGTCAGCCGTATGTTACTATTTGAAATGAACTTTCAAGCAATATCATTTACCAGCACACCTAGTCTTCCAGAGTATTTTGTTCAGGGCTATGAATTAAGTATGATCTAGATCCAAGAAAACCTTGATATCTGCAGTTTTTTTCCCTTTTGAAGTACTCTGTACAGTGGTGTGAATTAAATGTCAAACAGTTTACTACTTGTTATATTTATAATGTGTATAAACTGTATAGTGTAACTCCTTAGTTCCTTTTTGTTAAGCCCCTCCCCTTCCTTTTGGAGACTTCCTTAAAAACATGAATACAATTCTGGAACTTTAGTTTCTTTTTTTCTTTTGAGTCATATCATGTAACTTTTCTGATATTGGCAAACTTAAATAATATAGGAGAAACTGGGTTGAATCCCATATCTGAAGGGCTATGGATGTGAAAGAACCTTTATATCAAAATTTTGGTGCAAGAGTTTACTTCTGGTAACACTGATCCATTTAAAATGGTGGTCTGAAACGCTAATAAAATTTACATTAGTAGTACAAATGATAATTATCCGGACCCTGAGGGCATGGAGGTGGTGGAGAAAACAATGACATTTCTTTCTATTTTATCTTTGACCCGATCCAGGTAAACAGATATAATTTTTATTCAAGAGGTGACAGCACTTGATTTTCCTTTTTTTTCTGGTATGTGTCTTGCTTGCTCTTAGAAGCACATGTTCTTATATAGCTTTACAATTTATAATAAGTGTAGCAACTTAGAAAGATAAAATAAGAAAAAATTGATACATCAGTGTGCTGTCTATTGAAATAATATCACATCATTAATATGAACTCCTGGGGTGCTTTTTCAAAACAGAATCCAGTAGGGTTCAGTTTGAAAAATCCTAGTCTAGAATGTGTTGAAAATACACCGTTAAGTGAAATAAAGCAGAATATAGAACTATATGGTATGAATCCAATTATATTGTTATATATGAATAGAAAAAAGACTAGAAGGAAGTTCATCAAAATGTTGCCTATAGTTGTGTTTGAATTGGGTTAACTAGGAGTAATCTTTATTTTCTTTTTTAATAATGATCTGAATTCTATGCTGAGAAAAAATTATCTTGACTTAGCACTTATTACGTATTCTTTTCTGCTGTTCTTTATTTTCTGTATTTTGTGTTTCCTCCTTATACGGATCAAAATGACCAAAGAGCAAGGACCAGATCTTCGTTATCTCTTTTTTCTCACACAGATGCTGTACCATTAGGAGCATATGCTGTCAAAATATGTTGTAGCTGATTCAAAGATTGACTTATTGTCCTTACTTTTGGTTGGATGCTCTAATCTCAGTGCCCCAGAGCTGTCCTTCTGATTGAGAATTGTGGTTTTGAATGGGATGAGGGAGAGGAAAGAGGAAGGGAGTTTGTCATTGGAGGGCCACAAAATTGGCATTAGCTGTAGAATTCTAGATGATGCCAGCTTTGCCTGTCTTTGGAACAATGTCCATTTTTGCCCCAGGCTGATCGAGCCTGTCGTCCATGACATGAGGTCATCTCTGTGGTATTTACTTATTGAGATACCAAACTATCTGAGCATTTCTTTTTACTGGTTATGGGTAAAGTAAGTTACTGTAGAAGAGCGTGTGCAGCAGTGGAGAAGATGCTTTGGATCAGGCAGCCCTGGGGAATTACAGCTCAGTTATTTCCTACCTGTGTGGACAGGTAGCCTACAGCCTCTTTGAGCCTCACTTCCTTGTGCATAAAGTATGGAATGACAAATACAAGAGTCCTCACAGGTCGTGAGGGTTAGATGAGCTAAAAGCTCAAAGCTTGGTGCAGCACAATGTCTGGACTTTGATGCATGAATTGAGCTTCGAAAGAGTTTACTTTGAACGTGCAGAGTGATAGGAAATGTATCTATGACCACAGAAATGACCACAGAATGAAATTATCCTCATCTTTTTCCAGAAATTGTTTTTCATTCATAAATTCGATAAATATTTATTTAGTACCAATTGTTCTGGTTGCTACTTTTTTCTTTATTTTTAATTTAATTTAATTTTTTTAATTGAAGTATAGTTGATTTATGGTGTTGTGTTTCAGGTATACAGTAAAGTGATGCAGTTATACATATATCCACTCTTTTTAAGATTCTTTTCCCATATAGGTTATCACAGATTATTGAGTAGAGTTCCCTGTGCTCTACAGTAGGTCCTTGTTGTTTATCTGTTTTATGCATAGTAGTGTGTGTATGTTAATCCCAACCTCCTAATTTAATCCGCATAACAGTGACCCCAAAACTTGGTGGCTTAAAACAACCATTTTATTTTGCTCACAATTTGGAGGGTCAGGAATTTAGCTTGTCTAGGCAGATTCTCGGGATCTCTCCTGTGGTTGCAGGCAAATATCCACAGGACAGAAGGCTCAGCAGGGTTAGGATCACACTGGCCAACGACTCACGTGGCTGCCAGTTGAAGCTGCCAACCGGCGCGCCACCTGGTGGCAGCTTCCCAGTAGATGGACTCCATATGTGATGGGCCATTTCCCGGCGTGAGCATCTTAAGAGAACCAGGTGGAAACTGCACAACTTTTTTTGTGACTTAGCTGCAGTACGTCTGCTGTACTCTGAAGGTTGGATCTGTAAAGCCAGCTCAGCTTCCAGGCCTTCCTCAAAATGGAAGGAATGGCAAACATTTTAGGGGCCGTATTTTAAAACTGTCACAGCGACTAAGAGTCAGGTCCTATATGATGTGTCAGGGCTGTAAGGGCTTTTTAAGGGCTTTTTGTGAGAACTATCTGTCCATGTCTTTTTACCTATTTTCTGTTAGGGTCTCTTTCTATTTTGCCTTTACATGAGGGATATTAGCCCTTTATTTGTGATATATAATGCAAGTGTTTTCTCCCAGTTTTATATCTTTTTGGCTTTGCTATTAGTGGAGTTTCTGCCATGTAAAAGTCTTTAAATTTTTATAAAGTCAAATTTACCAATCTTTCCTTTTGTTGCACCTGGATTTTGAGTCACAGAAAACCTTTCCTTACACCCAGGTTACAGAAGAATCCACCCATATTTTCTTAAGGATGGATACGGCATTGTATTGGTGGGAGTTCTCCAGAGAAACAGAACCAGTGGGATATATATGGCTTATTATGAGGAATTGACTCCTGTGATTATGGAAGCTGAGAAGTTCCACGATTTGTCTTCTGCAAGCTGGGGACCCAGGAGGCCAGTGGTCTAGTTCAGTCCAAGTCTGAAGGCCTGAGAACCAGGGGAGCCGATGGTGTGAGTCCCAGTCTGAGAGCAGAAGAGCAATGTCTCAGCTCAAACAGTCAGGCAGAGAAGGGGCGAATTCTCCCTTCCTCTGATTTTTGTTCTATTCATGCCCTCAATGGATTGGATGAGACCCACTCACATCGGGGAGGGCACTCTGCTCTCCTGAGTCCACTGATTCAAATGCTAATCTCATCCAGAGACACCCTCGCAGACACAGCCATAAATAATGTTGAGGCAAAGATCTGAGCACCCCATGATCTTGTCAAGTTCGCACATAAACTTAACCTTCACAGCCATTCTCCTTCACAGGCAGCACACACGGGTCAGCTACAGATACACAACCACAATGCCTTTAGGTGAAAGTATTTACAAAATACACAGAAATAATATTGCTAATTTGAGGGGACGCAGAAAGTTCGAAGCAGGTGACAAAGCGCTTACAGATCTCAGCGATGATAATCGCCTTTGCATTGCTTACATTTGTTCGTGGAACAGCAAGAACCACCCTTGAACAGAAACATATTTTGTATTCAGTCAGTTGTGACTGACATAATGTACACCTGTGGTGAGGTTACATCTGGGCCTAGAGTTCAGTGTGTTTTACTAATTTTTCAGCTTCTAGTAACAGGATGCTTGCCTAAGTGGCCCGGAAGACACGCTGTCTCACATCGCCAGGATCTGGAAAGGGGGTGGCTGCCGAACTGATTGATGCCGTGACTCCGTGAAGCCATCAAAATCCGGGTCCTTTCCACCTCCCTTGCTCTGTCAGCCTCCGTAGTGGTTAGTCCCCCTCCTGGTTCCAGAGTAGTCACAGATCAAAGCTCATGTTTTCATATACCAATATCGAGAGGCAGAAGGAGGGACATTCCTCTCCCTGTGTCTCTTTGCAAAAGCCAAGAAGGCTTTCCAGGAAGGGACTTCCTCATACTCCTCAAGGGTCAGAACTGGGTGACAGGCCATGTCATCTGCGCCCTGGCCTGGCCAAGGAGGGACGTTTGAGCAAAACTGGGGCTTTGCCAGCGAGGGAAGGGGTAGGGGAGTAGGCCTGGGTAGGTGACCGGGGGTATCTGCTGGGACCTGAGGCCTGTCGTAGCTGACATAAGAGACCAGCATCTCTTTAAGACTAAGGCCTGCTGCCCAAGGTCAGATACTGATAGCCTGGTCACCTCCGGAGAAGACGCTTATGCCCTTTGTGTGTTAATTATCAGCCAAGCTGGAGCCCTCTCTCCTCCTTCTCCCAAAGCCTCAGGCAGGTGGGATCTGTCAATAAGGTTCCGGTTGTTTATTTCACAAACAGTGTATTTTGCTTGAGCATATAGTGTGTTCTGTATTCAGAAATCCAGTTGTCTTCAGGGCCTGTCGGCCAGGCTGGGGAACCACTCAGTCTGGCAGGGCGAGCTGGGTGGTTTGTACTGTTTTGCTCAAGTCCTGGTCTCACCACAAACTCCCTCCAGGGTAATTACTTGGAGGAACACCTTACTAAACAGCTGGGAAGCATGACTATTAAGGAACTGCCAGAGATGAAAATTTATTTCTCACCTGTGTGGTTTCCAGAGCCTCGTGGGACTGAGGCATGAGTGGCTTCCAGTAACCTGTGGAGAGCACAGAATCCAGGGGGCCAGATGGTGTTCTGGGCTGTGGTTGTGCTGACTCCCTGCCTCTAGGGCTCCAAAGAAACCAGCTTCTAGAGAATTACACCCCCATCAAAGTACTAGTTTACTTGTTCTTTACCTTTTCTGTAGCATTGTGTGTCTTTACTTACTTTCGGTACATTAGTCTTCTCTTGACATCACTCCCAGTTGTCAGGAAGACCCCTGTGGCATAATGATGGAGCACACCTCTGGTAAGGATCTTGGTAGTTGCCTTTCTGCTGTAGATGCTGGTTCAGGAGGTTCCTTACTCACCAACTCCTAGCTACAAGCCTTTGTGTGGGAAGTGGTTCCTGACCTGCTGTGACAGGCTTCTCTATGGGAAGAAGTGGCCCAGATTCACCGAGGTGACTTTTTACATCACACTTTAGCCCTCACCCCCATTCACAAGTCTCTGCCTCGGCAACTGTCACTCTCGGGAAAGAATCTTTTCTTCAGATATGTTGGCTTTGTCGTGTTCTGCTCCTTTGGGGGCTAAAAAGGAAAGATTCCTATTTTTACCTGTTAGTCTATTATGCTGTTGATTATTAAATCATTACGTTTCCAGTGGGATCCACGTGGTCTCTGAATTCCTATTTCAAAAAATGTCTGTCTCCACTGTGGCACTTCATTTTGTGATGTCTTGTCCTCCAGTCTTAAAATAAGTAGAACAGAAAGATTCACTTTATGTTGTATCTGTCAAAAATCTGAAAGGATTCATTTTCTATTAGGATTCTATTGGAGCTCGGTTGCCTTTGCTAATAAAAGACCAAGGTTTCTGCTGGAAGGTAATTCATTGAGATTACACATCTTAATTTTTTTGATTAGAGTAAAAAAATGTAGGTATCACTAAGCAGAGTGAATCCCAACCTATAATTCATAATTGTAGAATGATGAATGTGAGCCTTGTTCCTAGATCCCCCAAGTGAGCCATAAAAACTGTGCTTAGAAAACAAAGTTTGAATTCTATGCTAATAGTTACTACAGGGAATAGTCCCTTTACTTAAGAATAGAAGTGACCAGAATAAGGATGGAAAGTAGTTTGATCTATGTTTCATTTGTGATGTATCGGAGGGTAGTGAGAGGAGCCTGGATGGGCAGGGTCAGAGTAGAATAATAATGTTAACTACTATTTTTAGCATGCCTTTGATGTGTGAGGCTCTGGGCTTGACCTTTTTCATCATTTGGGACGTTTTGGCAACCAGCAGCAGTTAACCCTACAAAAACTGGCTTGTGCAAGATGGAAATTTGTTATCTCCCGCAGCGAGAAGTACAGAAGTAGGGTAGATTCCCAGGTTGGTTGGCACAGATTGTCAAAAATATTATCAAGGGTTCAGGTGCTTTCTGTTTCTTGGTCCTGCCTCCCTGAGGGTGTTGGCAGTGGTGACCTCAGAGTGAGAAGATGGCTTCATATCCAGAGACGACATCCCAATGAGGTACAACAAACAAACAGCGGGGCTATTTCATTCCTTTTCTCTTTCTTAGGAGAAGGACACACTTCCAGAAGTCTCCTGGAAGACTTCACTGGTTGTATTGGGCTGAATCTCCACTCTTAAACCATTGATAAAAGGAATGGGATTACCACACTTGGCTTAAAGAAATCAGGATACCCTATCTCCTGGAGCTCAGAAGGTAACTGGCTGGGTGGAGGAGGGTGAAAGCTGAATACAATTAGGGTTTATAGGAAAGAAAGAAGGAAAGTGGAGATGGATGTTGGCACGGCAACCAAAACTCTGCTACATGACTGTATCCATCTCTATCTTTCTCATGTCTAAGCCTCATGGAAAATCTGCAGGATAGACATTAATACTAAAAGTCATGTTTTCCAGACGGGGCTCGTTTCAGTATCATGTATTCTATTACAGAGTTTTTAAACAGTGGTATTCTTTCTTCCAAGTGAATCTTGCACCAAACTACAACATATAAACAGATATATATATGTTCAAATGATGAAATGGACAAGAAACTCAATTTTAAAACTCCAATAAAGCTTTTGAACACAACAATTTGAAAGTATCAGTTATGGATGATATTTGTGGCATCGTATGTGCACCTAAGTTCAGAAAAAGACCAGTGCTGACCTACACCTTTCCTAACCAATGTCTCAGAAGGTTAGATGCACACACAGAAATGAGAAAAGCAGCTTCCTTCAGCATGCTGCCCGTAAACGCTGATCTCACAGCACAATTGCTGTGTTGAGGGCTTTCATTGCATTACAATTGTATAATATCATAATTTGGGGGACTGTCTTTTCTGATATTTGCTTCTTTGTGAAGCATCTCCATTGGCACAGTGCCCCTGGCTGTTCCCCACCTGCACGCTTCCTCCTGCTTACTTAGCTGTGATTTCGGAGGCCGTGGGTGTGCACTGCCCAGCCATCCCTCTCTCCTCTGCTCTGTTACCCCTCTGGCCAGAACTCTGTGCCTGCAGAGAGAGCCCTGCTTCTCCCTGGGACAGCCAGTGACCCCGGGATAAGTCTGCTCGGTGCCAGCATTCAGTATTAGGAAACAGCCCATAAATAACAGCATTTTCTAATATCCCCTTTATTGGTTATAAAGATGTATTTTATCCTCCATTGGCTGCCTCATACCTTAGTTTTCAATTTTTTTGTAATCCAGGGAGTAATATAGTTTCTGTTTATCCCCCCACCTACAAACCTTGTCATAATACTTTGATTTGCTTTCTTTTTTTTAATGTTTTTACTTTTTAGATTTTTAAATTTTATTTATTTTTTAAATTGAAGTATAGGTGATTTACAATGTTGTGTTAGTTTTTGGTATACAGCAAAGTGATTCACTTATACATATATATATTCTTTTCCATATAGGTTATTACAAGATATTGCATATAGTTCCCTGTGCCCTACAGTAGGGCCTAGTTGCTTATCTATTTTACATTTAATAAAACTCCAAACTCCTAATTTATCCCTCCCCTCTTTCCCCTGTACTTTGATATGCTTTCTTTTATAAAATAAAAACATTGTGTTATGCAATATTTCAAACGTATAGAAAATGCAGCAAATATACAAGCCATATTTAATGTGTTATATTTTGACGTGATTGTTTCAGATCTCTTTTCTTTAAATAAATAAAACTTTACAAATATGGCTAAAATTCCACACTTCATCCCTCTTTCTTCCTAGAAATAAACACTGTCCTAAAGAAGCTATGACTTGAACCCTTGGATGGTTTTGTACCAATAGTATATATAGTAGTATTGCTTTGAATGATTTTAAAATATTTTACAAATGGTATTGTATCTGTCCTTTTATAAGTAGCTTTATAAACTCAACATCATATTGCTAACTATGATCTGCTTAGTTTTTGAGCTGATCATGTTTCCATCATATGAACGAGGCACTTTATTATTTACTGCACTAGAGACCAGGGTTTGGTGATTTTCACTAGCGTACTTAATGCTGTAGTGAACATCTTTGTGTATGTCCCCTTGTGCACGTGTCCAAGAGTTTCTCTAAAGAAGATACCTAAATTTGTAAAGTATAAATGGAACGGCTGAAGGGTAGATTCTACTTAATTTCAGGTTGACGAGGAATTGCCAATGCTCTTCATGGTGGGTGAGCCAAGTCACATGCCTCAGAAAGCATACAGGAGTTTCTGACTCTCACAGCCTCACCAACCCCTGGGAGATGAGTCTCTACGAGTCACATGAGTTTACAAAGTGAGCTCATTGTTTTAATCTGCATTTCTGATTACTAAAGGTATTAAATGCATTTTTACATGTTTTTTTTTTACCATTTGGGCTACCATTTCTGCAAGTTACCTCTTCTTATTCTTTGTCCTTGTTTTATTTTCTCCTGCACTGATTTGTCTTTTTGTTTTGAATTGGGGAAGTCCTAAAAATATCTTGGATATTCATTTTCTGTGCTTTCAAGAGGTTTTCTCTGCTGAGTGTGTGGTTTATCTTTTTGTTTTGTTTACTGTATCTTTGGTAATAGATTGTGTGGTCATAATGTATAGCTATATATAATAGATATAATAGAGTCTTAAAACTTTTAATCTGTTCAAATTTGTCAATATTTTTAAATGTTTGTTTACACCTTGTTTCAGAATTCCTCCTTTAACACGTTATCAAGTTATTATGCTATATTTTCTAAGGCTTTTCTTGTCATATTTAAGTTTTAATCCATATAGCATTTATTTTTGTGATTTGTGTGAAGTAGGTTTCTAATTTTATTTCTTCACATATGCACTGCCAGTTAAGATGGTAGAGTGATTGAATAGTCCATTCTTTCTCTTCATTTTAATGTTCATAGGTTTGTTACTAGTTCTATCCAGCTACACTGATCTACTTTCTATCTCTGCATTAATAATGCATATTTTAATATTTAATTGCTATGGTTTTATAAGCCTTAATTTCTTGTAGGTGAAGACACCTTGATATGCGTTTTCAAAATGGTCCTTCATATCCATTTCCCTCCAAGAAGTTCAGGACCACTTTGTTGAAAGTTCTGTGAAAACACTGTTGCATCTATGGTTTTGTTTCTTCACCATTCCTAATTCGTACCATTTGAATAGTTTCCTTAAATAATTTTGCCAGAAGTTTGTCCTTTTTTTAGTCTTCTCAAAAATTTGTTTTTGGTTTTGTTGAATCTTTCTAATTTGTATTATAATTTCTTTTTTGAACCAGGAAGTATTCAGAATTGGTTTTTTAATTCTCATTTTTATCGCATTTTGGTCAGAAAACATGTTCTGTAAGACGTAGATTTTTTTTTTTTTGAGACTTGTTTAGTGGCTCATTCTACTGTCAATTTTTGTAAATGTGCCATGCGTGCTTGGAAAGAATATGGTTTCTTTGTTGTCTTCAGAGTTCTATAAATGACCATTTAATCAGTTACTGAGAAATCTAAAATCCCCTACTAAAATTGTGAATTTCTAGGTTCTTTCCAGTAAATCCATTTTGTTTGTTTGTTTGTGTGTTTGTTTTGAAACTATGTTCCTAGGGGCATAAAGGTTCAAAATTGTTATATTTTTTCTGGAAAGGATTGTTCCTTTCATTATTAGACAACAAGACTCTGTGTCCCTAATTCTCTCTCCCTCCCTCTTAAAGTTGAATTTACTGATGATTATATGTTTATATGAGGCTTTGCTGCTGTTATTGTTAGTATTTTTCAGATATTTCCTCCCCCTCAATTCTTCTACTTTCAATTTGTCTGTGTCACTATGCTTTAGGTGAGTCTCTCGTTAACAACATATAACTAGAAATTCAATATACAATCTGTAAGTCTCTGTATTTTATTTGGGAAGCCTAGTTTCTTTACATTTTTTATGATTACCATTATACTGTATTTCATCAAATCTAAGTTGCCATTTATTATAAGGTGCGACACCATTTTAGTTATCATTAAGAAACAGAAAAAATATTGCAATTAAACAGTGACACAATGCTTATTTGGAACTTATTAAAGAGGTATTTTAGAATTAATTATAAATACTTAAAAATCATGTATTAATCTTATGCATAAATATAAATGAAATAAATCAATTGTTATTTCTAAAAATTGTCACATTCAGTGTCTAACTCTTCTCAATTAGTTTTTGACTTAGAGTCACCAATGTTTGTGCTTTTCCAGACCCTATCACCCTCCATGCTATCAAAAGCAGCAATTCTCAAAAGAACTAAAAGCCATTAGAATTGGCTGTTAAGCTGGCTTTGCAATTATGTAGAACAAACCTCTTTTGGAGTCTAGCTTTGGGAATGTTGTTAAACCTGTTTTATTCGTCACCTTCTCACTCCTTCCTCACGACTGTTTGGATCTTAAGAGTTAAAGTACTGCTCCACCATTGTTTTTAGGATTTTGTTCTGAGATGCTGACATCCATTCTGCAAGTTTTGCTGCTGGCTCTTTTGATGTTCATGTGTGTAGTCATTGGCGTCCACATCACAGGTCCTGCATGGCCAACAGGGATTTTAAAACACCATCAGTTGAAATATGCATTCTGATTTCAAAGATGTTAAAATGTGAACACATGTGCACCTTAGAAATGATGAAACATTTTATAGTTTATTTACATAAAGATATAAAAGTTATTTTTATGCTTTATTCTGCTTTCTCTTTGACATACCTTTTTTTTCTGGAGTATTTTTACCTCCTTTCCTGTCTTCTATTGGATCAAGTTTTCTTCTTTTTTTAATTAAAAAAATTTTTTTTATTGGAGTATAGTTGCTTTACAGTGTTGTGTTAGCTTCTGCTGTACAGTAAAGTGAATCAGCTATATGTATACATATATCCCCTCGTTTTTAGGTTTCCTTCCCATTTAGGTCACCACAGAGCACTGAGTAGAGTTCCCTGTGCTATACAGTAGGTTCTCATTAGTTATCTATTTTATACATAGCAGTGTGTATATGTCAGTTCCAATCTCCCAATTCATCCCACCCCACCTTTTCCCCCTTGGTGTCCATACATTTGATCTCTACATCTACGTCTCTATATCTGCTTTGCAGATAGGTTCATCTGTACCATTTTTCTAGATTCCACATATATGTGTTAGTATACGATATTTGTTTTTCTGATTTGCTTCACTCTGTGTGACAGTCTGTAGTTCCATCCATGTCTGGAAGTTACACATTGTTTTTTTCTTTTAAGTAAACTTTACATTTTTAGCATTGATATTTGCCTTGGTAAAGTTAATCAATATCTCTATTCAGCTCTTTAATAATTCACTAAATTGATTGCTTTGTCTCTACTTCCTCCTCATTTCATGTGTTATTGTTCTCTAGTATTATAGTTCCAACTTGTTTTGAACTGGCCAAGTTGGTGGTATTCATTACTAGTGTTGTGATTTTTATGATCAATACTCACTCAGATTTACACCTTGAAGAGTGTTCTTCCTTACCTTTGTTCTTTATATCTGCTTCTTCAAAATGTATTGCTTCTTCCTTATGAATACAGTTTCCTTCTTCCTGAGATACACCTTTTAGTTTGAAAATGTCTGTATTCTGCCTTTGCTCTTAAATGATAGCTTAAATGAATGTAGAATTTTGGGGGAGAGGGATATGTGATTTCTAGCACCAGGTGTGTAGTGTAAATGGGGTTCTAATCCCTCCCACGCCCTCAGTTTGCAAAACAAGCTCATTATTGCTGTCTCCTGTTCAGGTCAGCAGGCAGGGCTTTCTCAGTCCCTTTCACTGAGATGGAAGCCTTTCCATGGCTCTGGCTTAATTCCACATGTCAGTCCCACTAGACACGTGGAGTCAACCCACTTCCTGGCCTTCCAGCCTGCTCACCCCTCCAGCTTTCAGGCCCCTCTTTATTGTTTGCTGTTGGGAATTTCTCTTTCTATCTTCTGAGTTCAGGTCTGCATTACATTTTTATCTTGCATTTCTAGGTGTACCGTGGCAGGAATGTTTTACATTGGCCCTATCTGACTTTCCATGGACCCTATGAGAGTACTGCATTTTTCTTTATACAATGTATTTTTAAAATATTAAAAATAGTTAAGATTATATTAAAAGGAAATTGAAGTGTTCAGTTCAACTTCTGGTTCCATGGAACCTTGGCTTTCTACAAGATATGGTCTTTCAATGACTGCCGTATTGTATGATTTTGAAATCCATGGTTAAGTGACTGTTTGGGCATGAGATCCCAGACCTGGAGTGGAGAAAACAGACTTCAGGAAGGACGTCTCCCCTTAAGGTTTACCAGCCTATGGCAGACACACACCTGAGGTATCAGAAATTTGCTCCCCATGCAGGCTCTGTGTTGTCACTCCCAGGGCAGCCAATGCACTTCTCCAGGCTATGATTTGTAGCTTCTGAGAGGCTAGATTAGAAAAAAAGTGGTCTAAAGGACAGAGCAGTTAATTATTAGGCAGAAAAAAAAATCTTTTTGTATGCTTATTAGCTAGTTGACTTTCTTTTTCTTTCATGTAAAAGGAAATGACCTCCTTATTTTTCTATGATGTGATATCAAGGAAATGAAAACTGTCCTAGCCCACTGGAGGAGTATGAAATGGTGTAGCCAATTGGATACCATCTCTTTCAGTCAGTTAGCTTTTGGTGTGTAACAAACAGTTGCAAAACTTAGTGCTTTAGAAACAACACACATGCTCCACGTGAGCTCTCATCCTCCATGAGGCTTGCCCAGGCTTCTTCCAACAGTGATGTCAGCCTTCCAAATAGCAACAGAAAAAAAGGGGAGCTCACTGCACAAGCCCTTGTCAAGGCCCTGCTTGCATTATGTTGGTTAAAGTCCCGTGGCCCAAAGCAAATCATATGATTTGCTTTGAGGAGATGAAAGTCACATTGCAAAAGAGCGTATGTGTAGGGATGGAGATAACCTTTAGGCCATTGCTGTAAACTGCCATTCTATAAAATAAATACACTCTTTTTGGTGTCTATATGTTAGACATCTACAAGGGTGTTTATCTCACTGTCTCTTTGTATGATAGAAAAACACTGGGAACTACTGAAATGCACATTGGCTGAGGAGTGATAACAAAAACATCTGTGCTATTGAATACCATAACGCAGTTGCAGAGCATGTGATAGATTCGGGAGTACTGTCCTAAAAAGACATATCTTTAAATGAAAAAAGCCAGTGGCTGAACCATACAGACTTCACACTTCACACCTCCCACCATACGCAAAAACTAAATTCCTGCAGATACATTATGTCACGTCATGCATGCGCGTGACAAAATGTCAAGAAGTATACCCTCTAGATGGAGAATAGCAGTTACTGCTATGGAGGGAGTGAGCTTGAGTGGCGGTCAGGGGGAATTTTATTTATTTTGGAGGGGTATCACTTGAATTTTTTACCAAATGAATGCCTTCACATGCTGCTTATTTAACAATGAATAAAATTTGAATTTGAACCTAAAGAAAGGAATGACAGTATGATTCTCACCAGCTGGGCTTCTGTCTCATCATTCAAGCAACCGTGGACGTGGCGGTGCTCCTGGGCCCTGAGACTATTCTCCTTTCCTCCTTCTCTCAGTCATACCTGCTGCTTGGTGGGAGCGTTTCAAACTTAGTAAACCAGATCCAAGTCAGGGCAAGATTCTGGAACTTACCCTCTTCAAAATACACCATTCAGCCTAGTCATCATGGTGCCCAAAGTGACAGCCAGCATAACTCCTATTGTGTAGTTTTGGGGTCCTGGCTTCAAATGCCAGGCAACATGTTATAGTATCATTTTTTCCTAAATGATTTCAACATCATCTGAAATAAGTTGATCACTAATTTTTTGTGAAACATTAGTGTCTAGTGAATTATAATTTTGAGGCTGACACAAGCAGAGATGTAATTGTTGACATATCCTGTTCATTCCAGTCAAAACCTTTATCTTCTAGAATTTCTGATGTTTCCACAGTGTAGTGTATAGTTCACTGTCCTCAGGGACTGACTATTTATTATTCTCTATCTGTCTACACCACCCCTTTGGGGTTCTGTGGGAAATGAGTAATGCCAGACAAAATGCCAAAGTTATCTCTTTGGCATGCCCATATAACTTGCACAACGTGGGGCGAGGGGTGCTCCATCTTACTGACCAGTTAGAATAGAAACAAATAGAAAATAAGAGTAAAAACTCATAACAGTTATAACTATTAGTTTCAGAAACCACTTCATGTTGGTGACGATAATTATGTAGTATTTTTAAAATTGATTCTTTGTATCTGTGCCTAATGATATGTTTATGTTATTGATTTATTATCTTGAAGAGAAGATTTAAAACTACCGTGACAAAACAAAGTTTTTAAGAAAATCCGTGTCAACTTTCAGGTTTTAAACTTCTGTGCTCCTTTCCTGTCCTACTCTTTTTCTTGTGTCTAGGTATGCACCGTTTTACTGTAGAACTCACACACACACACACACACACACACACACCGTTATTTACTAGAGCTCTAGAGAAGAGCTGTTTCCCATAAGGATAAAGCAGGTGTGCCCTGCTCATTGACAATTATGACTCATGTCATTATTCTACATTTGGAGGGACTGTCTAATCTCTGAGGCAATGTTAACCTCTTAGATTTTTTGGTTTGACATCACAGAACCAATGATACTAATTGGGTGCGGACACACCTATGAATTATGAGACGTAGCATGTAGGTGATTTCCATAAATCTTCTTGAGTGAGGGGTGTGTGTGGGGTTCCTATTTCGATGATAACTCTTAGAGCATCATGTGTCATTTGTAAGTACCGGAGTTCTTATTTGGTGAAATAATATTGCAGCCAATGCCGTTGGTATTTTGCTGTCAATATTTTAAAATTTCTTCCACACTAGATAAAATAATTGGTTAAAAATCAGAAAACTATTAAAACATTTCACAAATTATAAGATGACTATTATTTATTGGCAGCAACGGAAAGCAAAGCAACTGGTCTGACAAAGAACATTCTGGACAAGCAGAGTCAGGAAAGTAATTGGTCAAAATGTTTCTTGTATGTCAA